CCTGCTCCTTGGGAGCCTGCTTCTCCCTCTGCCTCTCTCTCTCTCTCTCTGTCTCTCATGAATAAATAAATAAAATCTTTAAAAAAAAAAGATACTTTTCTGTTTTCTAAATTGTTGCCATAAATTAGTAAAAACTAGATTGAATATTTGTTATTTTTACTTATTTTTTTGTAAATAAAATTTGTTGGAGAGGTTTAGGTTCACAGCAAAATTGAGAGGAGGGTACAGAGGTTTCCCATACACCTCTGTCCCCACACAGGCATAGATTGTTTCATTATCAACATCATTCAGCAGAATGGTACATTTGTTTCAACTGATGAACCTGCATTGACACATTATAATCACCCAAAGTCCATAGTTTACATTACAGTTCACCCTTGGTGTTGTGCATTCTTTGGGTTTGGACAAATGTATAATGCCATGTACGGTATCATACAAAATAGTTTTACTGCACTAAAAATAACCTCTGAGCTCTGCCAATTCACCCCTCCCCGTGCCCCCCAACTGTAAGCCCTGGCAATCATTGATCTTTTTCCTGTCTCCATAGTTTTTCCCTTTTCCAGAATGTCATACTGTTGGAATCATATAGTATGTAGCCTTTTCAGATTGGCCTATTTCACTTAGTAATATGTATTTAAAGTTTTCCCATGCCTTTTCATGGCTTGATGGTTCATTGCTCTTTAATGTTGAATATATTCCATCTGGCTATACCACAGTTTATTTATCCATTCACCTACTAAAGGCCATGATGGTTGCTTCCAAGTTTTGGCAACCATGAATAAAGCTGTTGCAAACATCCACGTGCAGGTTTTTGTGTGGACATAAGTTCTTAATCATTTTTATAATTTTAAATATATAATGACACTTTTTAAAATGTTGGCCACCTTTATCAATTTGTAAAAATGTTTTTAATGCTCTACTTCACTCACTTGGGATTTAGGAAAATAGTACTCACAGGGAAATACTTGAAAAAGAGATAAAGACAAACACTTTTAAATAGCAAAAATTAGTGTTTGAAAGATTTGAGGTAGGTTGATTTCTTTCTTTCTTTCTTCTTTTTTTTTTTTAGAAGCCAAGTAGTATAGATAATACTATCTACTGCAAAATCGTGATTTTCTGTCACACTAAGGACAAAAACAAAAAAGCTGTTTCTAGGCTGGGTGGAGGACATTTGGAGAAATTTGGTGGAGACAAGATATAGTTAGACAGTAGTGTAGGCCCTGTTCTTTGATTCTCTACAAAACTGAAACCTGCTGAAGTTGGGTGGGAGCGGGGTGTTCATAGTGATCACAAGACAGATTTTGGAAAACATAGTTATTTTCCCCCTTATTCCCCAAACAGTTTATTACAGATGTCTCAAATTTAGCAGGGTCCGAGAGCAAAACTTCGCCAGAAGGGAGACAGACTATCAATGGTTGAGGTAAATGACAATACAGAAAGGTCTGAGGGTTCTTCACAATAACCTGGTCACTCTAGTATAGTGGGAGGTAGACTGTTGAGGATCCCCTAGCCTATGAGAGCAGGATGCAGGATATGGATGGACTGAGGTTAGTAGCTGGATCTAGAGGCCTGAGAGAGTCCAAGTGACCAGACCTCAAAGCATGAACCCATAACAAGTACCATGGACAGCAGCCACAGAAGCCAATACTTTATCCCCAAGTCTCCCCTAGTTCAGGATAATACACAAGCCCTCCAGCCAGTGTTCTGCCCAGGGAAAAGGAAAGAATAAGGGGGAAAGAGAAAACACTAATACAACACAATATTTACACAGTGCACTAAGTTTTAAACAAGCATTAACTAGTTATCATTCATTATCAAGGTTAGATTTTTTTTTTTTAAAGATTTTATTTATTTATTCATGAGAGACAGAGAGAGAGAGAGAGAGG